GAGAGAGAAAGAGAAAGAAAGAAAAAGAAAGAAAGGAAGGAAGGGAGAAAAAGAAAGAAGGAGAAAGAAAGGAAGGAAGGAAGGAAGGGAAAGAAAGGAAGAAAGAAGTAGGTAGATAGGTCAATCGGTCGGTCGGTTACTGTTGCACTGCTGCTTGGGTTTCAAAACACTATTTAGAAACCCAAAAACTGAGAATATGTTGGTGTGGATGAGGGTTTCTCAACTTTGGCACCACTGACATTCTAGCTGGAATAATTCTTTGCTCTGAGGGGCTGTCCTGTGCACTGTAAGACATTTAGCAGCATCCCCAGCCAGTAACCTCCCCTCTGCCAGGTGTGACAACCAAAAATATCTACCAACATTGCCAAGTGCTGGGGAGGGTGGGGGAGGGATGGGCAGAATTATTCCTAGTTGAGAGCCATTGACATGTATGATTTGTGCAAAAACAAGTAGGAAGTGAAATGATGTTTGATGATTGAAAAGCCAGTTCCCCACTCACCATACACACAACCTCTTCAACATTGAATGGCACCGTTTTGTAAACATCTGTATCCACTAAGTGGCAGTTGCTCTGGTAGTCCTCCATCAGAATGCTCTTCAAGGTCTATATGCCACGCTATTTGCCAAACGACTAGAGAGAAGGGTGCCGTGCTAGTCCTGCAGCTGCGGAGGTGGGATGTGACAGAACATGAAAGGGAGTCTAGGTTAAGACCTGTGGTCCTGATGCAGGAGTAAATGGGCTGCAGCAGAGCTGCGGAAGTTGAGTTGAGTTGGCTGTGTGGGTGTCGTCTCCCGTCCTTGTGGCTCCTTGTTCATCATCCAAACCCTTAGCAGTGGTCAACTGAAGAGTCCACCCAGGACATTGTTGTCCTGTGCTTTGTGCTTTGGTCTGTGCCAGAACTAAACATATCCTTGTTCAGATCAGCTGGAGGATAAAATATCTCCCAGAAAATCTCAAATTCTTTTGTGTTCTTTATTCCACAATCCCCCTAGTTTGAAAAAAAATGTGTGTGTGGTGTGTGTACACATGTCCAAAGTACAGAAGCAATCAAAGATCTATAGAATATACTCCCAGAGGCTTAGGGAGGGGAGACAAAGGACTGCCGTTATGCCAGGCTGTGTGCTGGTGTGCTAAATAGTCCTCACAAAATAGTCCTCTCTTTAGTCCTCACAAAAATCCCATTGCATAGATGCCAAGAACGTGGAAGTAAGTCGTTCGAGGTCAGACAGCTGCTACAGGGGGAGCAGAAATTTAAATCAAGCTCTAGCCGAGTTTTAAGCAGCCCAAGCCCAGGTTACAAGCCTCCCCTGACTCACCTGGCCCATGTGCTCTGGGCCTCCGTTGCTTGTTGGATGGGGAGCTGCCCACCGCTGCCCGGACCTGCAGCGTGGCTGAGGACCCCCGCCAGCCTCTTCAGGGTTGAGGGCCGGGCTTCATCGTCCACACCCTGGTGGGAGCCTCTGCAGAGACGGCCCCCAGGCCCAACCAGACCAGACCTACAGGGGTGGGCTCCTTCTAGCTCCTCTAGATCCAGATGCTGTGCCGCTCCCTGGGACGGGGGTCTGGCTTCCCAGGGGCCGCCCCAGGGTCTAGGCAACACAGCCAAGAGGCGGGGGCACTTAACTCTACAAAGGGAAAACCTGGACCAATGGAAAGCAGGACACTGAAAAGACACCATATAAATGCCTCTCCCTTCCTCCCCCTCTCAGACTGCTCTGAGATATACTGGTTGCATTTAGCCTTTCTGGAGATGAGCCATGTCTTCTTGTGAAGCAGGGGTCCAGCTCAGTAACATGCCACCTTACATTTGCTTTCCTTCCTTCTTCTTTCAAACTTACTGCCCTGGGGTTACACGCATGCACTCACGCACGCACACACTGCCCCCCATAAAGTGTTAACCTCGAAGTTTTGCCTTTGGCTCTGTTTTCTAGGAAACGATGATTAAAACATAAGTGGATGCTCTTTTATGTGTAAAATGACATGCTACCACCCATCCTTCTAGAGTCCAAGAAAAAATAAAAACACCCCCCCCAATAGATCTTACCCCTTGCTGATGATAGCTGACAGATGCTTTGAAAGGAGAAAACCAGCCGTGGTGTGTGGGGGTGGGAAGCAGCGCATTAAGATGGTGCCCACTGTGCCTCGGTGGTCTCCTTGTATCTGCCCTAAACACCACCTGCTTTCCTCCCTGTGCTTTTAGACTGTGTCAACACTTACCTGAGCAGCAGGGCTGTACTTGTCTGGCTGTGATGATCATGTCTCCTGGCAGGACAGAAGTCATCAGTCATCCTGAGCTCAAACCCTGGTTCTCCTGCTTGTTAGCTGTTTGACTGGAGAAAGTCAGTTTCCCTGAGTGGATGATTCCTTGCCTGTGTAACAGAAACAAGACGGCCTGCCTCACCTTTCCCATGGGCTGACGTGACCGAGTGAAGGCACTTTGATGCTCCATATGGGTGTGCTTTAGCTGTGTGAGGGGAGGCTAGGGGATAAATTTCTAACTTCGGTTTCTAAATTTCCCTGACTAAAAATAATGAAGCACTTCTGTAGGAAAATATAAAGAAATAAATCACTCAAGTCCTCTTAAGTGTCTTCAAGATAATTACGATTAAAAGCCAAGATAGAATAAGAGAGATTGGACTTTCCCTCCCATGTGAAACAAATTTTTTTTTTAAAAAAAACAGAAAAAATGTATTAAAAAATGTTTTTTCAAGACACTGGACATCAGACAATGAGGTGATTCCCTGAGAGAAAGGAAACAAATGCGGTGAGTCCTACGGTCGCCCCAGCTTACTCCTGGAGAGTTTCCAGGCTACAGCGTAGGGAAAAAGAGGCCTTGGGGAGACTGGTGGCCGCCAGGAATTGCGCAGGTGGAGCTGGGAGCCCAAGAGACCAAGGTGACCGGAGTTCAGAGGACAGCGTATCAGAGATGCAAGGGATACACAGAGGGAGAACTCTGGAGACCTGCAGAGGGATCCCCTCCAGGATTCAGCGGAGAATTATTCAAGGCATGCATATGAGGAAACTGTCTGAAGCTGAGGAAAAACCACCCAAAAGGATTGGTGGGAACAGTCGCTGGGGCTCACACCGGGCTTGGAAGAGCACCCTTTTCTACCAGTCAGACTGGAAAATTCCTTCATCCACAAGGCACTAGGTAGAGTCTTGCTTCAACAGGGGCAAATAGTTAACCCTAAACTAAACCCTGCTCTGGTCCAGGCCAATCAATCTTAAAGACAAGACCTGAAAAGATCAAGTTGTTTCCAAATAACTAAACTGCATTCCGGAACAAAACTCCAGAATATTTATAGAAATACAAAAACAGCTAGCATCTAACAGGGTCAAATTGTCAATGCCTGGCATCCAGTAAAAAACTTTCCAGGCATGAAAAGAAACAGGAAAATATGTGCCATAATAATGAGGGAAAATCTATCATAGCCAACTCGGAACTGACACCAGAAGTCAGAATTGGTAGAAAGGGATATTAAAAGTTATTATAATTGTATTTCAAGTGTCCAAAGCCTTAAATAAAGATATGAATATTTTAAAGGCTCAAATCAAACATCTAGAGATGAAAACTACAATCTCTGAGATGAAAGATACCCAGGAAGGAATTAATAGTGTAACTATACAATGGAATACTATTCGGCAATGAAAAGGAATGAACTTGATGAATCTCAAAATAATTGTGCTGAATGAAAGAATCCAGACAGAAAGATTGCATGCTGTGAGATTCCTTTTGCATGAAATCCTAGAAGATGCAAAAAGTAATCTCCAGTTACAGAAAACATATCAAGAATAACCTGGTTGCAGGGTAGGGGCAGGAGTAAGAGGAAGGGATACCCAAGGGACACAAGGAAACTTTTGGAGGTGACAGTGATGTTCACTATTTTGATTTTTATGCTGCTTCACGGGTGTATACAAATGTCAAAATGTATCATTTTATGCACTTTAAATGTATGCAATTTATTGTATATTGATTATAACTCAGTAAAGCTATTTGTAAAAACTAAAGAGATAAAATTGTATTTCTAATAACCACCGAACAACTTGGAAAACAGAAGATTTATAAATGTAACCACACTTTTTAGTATTTAAATTTCTGTAAATTTTAGAGAATGGTAAAATAAAGTTTGAAATATGTAATTTTTTGTTACATCTAAATCTATAGTATCTAGAGGGGAGGGTATAGCTCAGTGGTAGAGCACATGCTTAGCATGCCCACGGTCCTGGGTTCAATCCTCAGTCCCTCCATTAAAATGAATAAATGGATAAACCTAATTACCTCCTCTCCAAAATAAATAAATAATAAATCAGCTATGGAGTCTGTAAGGTACCTGTGTGATATAGCATCTTAAGTGTTAGTATGGTATTTAAAATTTGGTTTAAGGGTCCTCTCTTTTTTATTTTTTTAACAGCAAATTAGGAAACCTTTCCCATTGTTGTTTAGAGCTATGTATTTTCATTGGGTAGGGGTGGGGAGATATATTTCAAAACAAAACTAAGGGCCAGAAAGGCACAAGGTAAATTTTAGTTATGGTTTTTTCCAAAGCTCGCTTTAGAAACTAAGAAATTCTACACATTTTCTTACCCATAAGAGACTGTACGTTTCACTCCCTAATAACCTATTTGCTACGACGTCTGGGCTGGAAAAACCCTCTAAGTGTCTGATTAAATACTCAAGAGCTTTAACCCCTGCCGTCCTGCTTCATTAGACATACAGTTGTGTGCTGCATGCTTGTTATATTTTGGGATATTCTTATTTCTGTATTGTCATGCTCTCAACTTGTCTGTCCTGATTTCCCCCAGTTTGATGCCGACCGGGACGAGGATGAGGTATTCTATGACATCAGCATGGCAGTTGACAGCAAGTTATTTCCAAACAAAGAGGCTGCAGCGGGTAAGTCACTGTGTCCTTTGGGCTGCAGGACACCCTGACCCCCTGCCAAGTGTCTGGGGCTTTGTAGTCATGTTGGAGCTCAGCAAACTGCTGTAAGGTTTTAAGGACAATGCTGTCCTCAGAGCTTTATACCTTCAGGCTTAAAAATTAAGGTACAAAACAACATAAAAAAGAAGAACTTGACATCTGGCCCTTATGGTTACTGCCTTTCTTCCAGTTACTGCATGAGCAAATTAGCAGGTGGTCACAATAGAGCATTGCATTTATGTTATTATAATTTTTAAACACTGACCTAATGTATTCTTTGTGCAACAATAGAAGTTACTGTTTCCCCAGGACTCCCTAACTCGTACATGTCTCTCCTGTGCCACCTGGAAAAAGCCTCCCCTTTGATCTGATAGCTGCTTCCGTCCCTGCCCACAGCCCCTGTCGTGACTCTGCCCCGTCTCTCCCTATGTCTAGGAGTTCAATGTTGGACAGTCATGCAGGGTAACCATATCCCGCTCAGAGTTCTAGCCTTGCCCCTTCTCCCACCCTCTCCCTCGGTCAATTCATTGTCCCTCATGGTTTCAACCATCAGTTCAAGTCATCAGTAGATGACTCTTAAATCCTCATCCCAGTCCTGACCTTTCTTCTCAGTGTGGCCTGAGTAAATAAAGACCATAAATTCTGGGCTGTAAAGAAAAATGCTAAACACCAAAACTTTTCAGCCATATTTGAAGCCCACTAAGAGTAGCTTCGAAGAATGGTAGTCTTTCTGGGCAGATCCACAGCGCACAGATGACAGGTGTTAACTCACCCGCCTGATTTTCCAGTGATATTTACCAAAGGATGGCCCATTGCAGGAAAAGATGGAATACTGAGATGCGTGTAAGATCATATAAACAAGAGTAGTGTTGCTGTGGAAAATGCTGTGACACCTGCACTTTTTAAGTTAATATGTTACTTAGAACATTCATTTAGACCTCTAACAACAAATGCCTCTGCAAGACACCCTCAGTTTGCTAACACAGCGGAGCAGAGGAGCTGATTTAAGCTGCCCGTTCTTTAGAACTCCCGGCACAAGTGGCATTTCTCCAAGGTGGCCTGGTCCTGTAGTAACGCAGCTGTGTTGGCTTCTGTGCTGGTCGGTAAATGGTGACCTCATCCTCTCCAAGTCCCTGCGGTGGGGTGCACAAGGCCCGGCCACAGCGGAGCTTTCCAGGGGCGGACTGCTTCCTTTCTGCAACTCTGGGCTTGTGAACAGAGGAGCCAGTGCCCACAGCCCCCACGCCCCCGTCTCCCTTCCACACCCAAGACCCCTGAAAATCTGGTTCTGCTCCAGCCTGAAAGTAAGCCAGCTCTGCATGTGACAGCCCTGGTGAGTGATGTGAACTGGAGGGCCTGGGGTAAACTAGAAATAACCCCACCTTCCCTACAGGAGGCGGCCACTTCACAGCCCC